TTCTTTCACCAGGCTGTCAGGAGACTCAACTCCCTCCCTGCTCTACCATCACTCCCCCCCTCTGCCCACCCACCCCCCTTTGCCCCCTGACCCCATCCCCCACACACACATTCACTCGTACATCCTGATCTCTGGACTGCACATTGCACTACATCGCACTACCACACTGGTATAAATATCTTATTTCTTTAAATACTTTATTTAAATAAGATTTTACATTTTAAAACTTCTTGACTGTAGTTTATTTTAAGTTTATTACATTTTTGATTATTTATCTTGTGTTGATCGCCGATTGTTAATTGTTTATTTATGTCTGTTAATTGTGATTAATTTTTTAATTGCTTGGTTGCACCGTGAGACCAAGAGAGAGGACTGTAATTTCATCTGTGTTGTATGTCATGCATGTAACACACTTGACAATAAAGTTACTTTAAGACTTTAAGCCCAATTTTGTGAATGACGACAGGCAACGTGTTTCCGTAAAGCGTTAATGAACCCGTTTATAAACGCGTAAAGTGTTCACGCGTCATTTAAATTTGAGCATCACACGCAACTTTACCATTTGTATCGGAGAATATACACGTTAACGCGACACACTTTCGTTTACACAAGCACAATTCCGGAGCGTTGTAAAATGGCACAGGGTTTTTTGTTGTTGTGCAGTAGCAGCAACCAAATGGTCATCGATTAATAACACAAGATTAATTGAATATATGCAACTTTAGCACTGGTAAAAAAAAGTACAAATCACGTACAATATTAATCAATGCCATTTAAACCACAAACATAAACACTTTGCAAACACACTCGCGGTATCTTTGGTGCCATCAAGTAACAATTGTTTGCAATGAAATGTAAGTAAACAACCTATAGCATAATCATGTTCAGAAATCACAATAAATTACGTGGCCATCTTTGAAATCACATTAAAGGTACAGCATTTGGTCGGGCTGTTCTCCGCTAGAGCACTCCCTCACTCACAATCGCGTGGAGTGTCTTCAAGAGTGGAGAAAGAGCCGAGTGTCCACTCTCTTACGTACTCGTTGTCCGACACCAAGCGTCCCGAGGCTTACCATACGCGCCGTCGACGTTTTGAAGTCAGATCAAGTGCTCCGACTTCATCACAAACGTCGCCGTGACAGCCGGCACTGGTTGGGGCACCGCGGTGGCTAGGAGATGTTCACTACCTCGCCTGGTATACAGGAGGTCGTGGGTTCTATGCCAACCTGACGCCTGCTGCTGTATATTTTGAGTTTATGAATTCTCCCCGTGGTCGTGTGCATTTTTCTCCGGCTCCTCCCGGTTTTTCCCTCCACTTTTAGAATAACGCGTTTAGAGTATTACGGCCGCTATACATTTCCACACGACGATAAGCCACTTCGCTTGAGCTACCATTCGTGGCCAGGTCGCTTCTGAAAAATAACGACATAGTTCAGTGAGCCTTACCTGGTAAAATAAAAACTGTTTAGTTATATAGTTTACTTCAGTCTCCTCAATGGAGAGGACCTCATCCAACACCGCCACCTTGACCCATCGGGGGCGCATAGCTCGCCTTCGAGTGTCGAGGTCAGAGCCGAAACAAATCCCCCGCCGTACGCGGGCTCAAGGCGCAAGGGAGGAAAACCCCAACACCGGGCATGGTGCTGCAACGCGGATCATCACACTCCGCGATGCGCACCGCGTCTATCCCCGCCACGGGAGCTGGCGAGGAGCGACACCATCGGCTCCCGTCGATGGCTGAGTGACCACCGCTAACGCCTATCAGGGGGAGAGCCATTGCCTTGAAGCAACGCGGTGCACTGCTCACCGTCAGCGTCCGAAATAAAATATTTACTTCGATTTGTCATGATGGCGATGGCACAGATGGAATGTAATTTACAGAAAATAAAATAAATGTGTGTATGTGTGTGTGTTGAGTCTAGGGCAGGGGTACGACGAGAGGGAAATATGTTCGACCTGATAAAACCGCGTTTCTAACTTTAATAATCTTAGTCACCACCTCTCTGACTACAAGGGACACTTCATACTCGGTCGACACTAGGGTTGCCACCAGTCCACATTTTCCCAGGAATGTTTCCTTGTTGAGGTAGCGACTGTCCTGGGAAATATGTAGCTCTTCCCAGCACATTGAAAGTCTTGCGTTTTGTAAGCTGCATAATAATAATATACACCACTCGAGACGATAAATTCACATGTAGTTCTCCCCATTTTTCCGGTATTATAATAAAATGTTCTCCTTCCCATTACATCCCGGTTATTGGAACCTCAGGTGGCAACCCAAGTTGACATGTGCGTTATTTTTCGCGTTATTATTGGATTACGCTGACGACGCGTGTGTTCGTGTGTTCGTGTGTGAGCGGTCAAAGGTGCACCTCGAGTTTCCTGCCATTTCTGGAAGGTGCACAAGCGCCGTGGCGAAAAGCGGTCGGATGTCTGTTGTTGTTGTTGTCGTTGTGGTTGCTGTTGCGGCCCTGAGTGTTTGGAAAAAAAATGGGTTTGCCACCGCTGGTTTCAGGCAGTGTCAACACTGCCACACCATAGCACTCGTGTGTCACATTCAGAGGTCGCAACCGGGTACCCAATACCCGTACCCTACCCGATACCCGGCTACCCGTACCCGGCCAGGTACGGGTACTCGTTTGCGACCCTGGTGCGGCCGGGTACGGGTAGGCCGTGAGTCACTGGTGAGTAACCGTTTGTCACTCATTTCGGGTAGGGTACGGGTAGGGAACGGGTACCCGTACCCGGCCGGGTACGGGTAAGGAATCAAAACCCGTTTGCGACCTCTGGTCACATTTCAGCGAGTCAGCCAAAACCCACCAGGCGGCGAGGCTGTACTCAGGCAACAACAACAACGAAATTCATTCAATGGCAACAATGCCCAACGCCCGCGGGACAAACAAAAAAACCTGGACGGCAACGCGGATGGTCGCGTTTCACAAGCCAATGGCCCTCCTGGCGATTCCATCGGCCACGGCTGAGATGTCCTCAACGGATGAATAGGGGGGAGCCGGCGGGGGGGGGGGTTTCGGTCTGCGGTGAATTGGGCGGTGCGGCACTTTGAACGAGCCACGCATTCGTGGAGATGTTTTTGCGCCGCGGTGTCTGAGGCCGCGTGGCAACGGAGTCGATGAGGGTCCAACACTGCCACCAGGGGGGATAAAGTAGCCACAGCAGCTCGGGTCGGGGGGAGGGAGGGGTGGGGTTGCTGGTGCGCCTCTCCCACTCGCAGTAATTCCGCAGTGCTTCTACAGCCGGTTGAATCGGCTACTGTGACGTTGCGTGGAATCGACGCGGCAAGGCGCGCTGTCACGCAATTCCGGCCGAGGTTCGAAGTGTAAATGCATTTGCTCCGGTCCGTCTGTGCATTAGGCAAAGGGGGTTCACGATCACTCCCATGAAGATCATCCAATGTGAACCGAAACTACTCAAGCGTGGAGTTGTGTTGCTGTGGGGAAATTGCCCTCGACCAAAAATTTGGGCAAATTTGACAAAGGGGGTTGCTCAAAAAAATCTGGACACAAAAAAAAACAACGCAAAGAGGTTTCGACTTAACGGACAAGGCGAGTGTGGATACCCTCCCGATGACGTCATTACGTAACGTTATCTGGCGCGGTGTGACATCGTCTGATTGTGCGGCTTGAAATGTAGCACGGTAGCCAATTAACAACAACCACCATTCGCCACTAAGTGGTGGTGACGTCACCACGGCACTTTTGCCAGGCTGTGTGCACATTAAGGTCACGTGAAGTGTCGAACGCCCGCTGGCAGGAGGTCACGGGACAGACCCAGCAGGTGCCATGGGTTGACTGACCGAGATGGCTCAGATCCGAGGACAAACGCGTACGTTGGAACGCGTTACAGAATCCATGCATACTCGTGGTGTTTTAATTTTCTGTCCACAGTAGGTAGGCGGCAAGCAGGCTTGCGTGGCGTAACAATTCAAGCGAGCAAGCAACGTGACGAATAAGAGGTGGTGAAGAGGTTGAAAGATTAAAGAGGTTGAACACATTTCGCCATAAACACTTGTTTATAACCGACAAAAATATATATAACAGGCTTATGTTTGAGGCAATGGTCCTTCTTCGCAGATGGCAGAGAGATTGACTACTTTCGAGAAAAGTGCATGCTCAAAATAAAACATGAGTCTGCTTTTATATATAAATGATGAAAGTGGTCAGTTTTTGCTCTTCCAGGGAAACTTAAAGAGCCTTTGTTCATGCTATGCTTGTACGTTAATGCTAAGGGGGTCTTCTCTCCCCTTAACTTCAATAGAATTCAAGTAAAATTGTAAGGTGAGATTTTAAAAGCTTCGTGAACCGAGTCAGTTAATAATGCGAGGCAGTAGAGGCAGACCAAGCGAGGGAATTACAAAAGCGTGAGCTTTGTGTGCCAGAGAGAACGAAGAAGAAAAATCATGCGTACGCGTGTTTTCTGAAAATGCTTTCCGACACGCATTTTTGCCATCGGAAGGATTGAATTACCTCCAATAACGTTATCTTGGGCACCGCAGAATAATTAATGCCACTTGAAATGACATCGTGGGGAGCCGGTGATAGCATGGCCATTATTTCTGGGGGGTTTTTTTTATCTTCAGGATTCGTGCAACTTTTGATCAATTTGGCTGGTTTTCTGTTGTATAAGTCCCTAATGGCAACACAACTTCATCCTAAAATGTAATTTGAATTGGATTATCTCTCCGAGAGTTACCATCACCCCCCTGCTACAGACGGACACGGTTAATGAGAGTTAGAAATGAGGGGGACGTGCTTCGTTCTGCGGTGAGGCAGCTGCACGGAGTACAGACGGGCCCAGCGTATAGGCCTCACTCTAGATGTCAGAGCCAGAATCAATGTTCACAGCAGTCCCACGTGGCTGTGCCTCGGAGGGTGAATTCCAAGTCAAAGCGCTGAACTAACACCATGGAGATCCTGGGTTGAAGTCCAGGCAACTACCCATGATTGCAATCAAGTGTACAGTACCTGTGATAGCATGCGGAATCAGTGAGTGGAATCACACCGCCGAGAGGCAGATTGCAGAACAAGCACAAGCAAGGCACCCACGATGTTGACTGTTTTAAATCTAAATTGAAAACTCATTTCTTTAGAAATGTTTTATGTGTTTAGTGTGTTATCCTTCCTCCCCGCACCTACAGTTAGCACGATTGGCTACATACGGTACGAAAGAAGTCCAAAGAAGTACGAAAGAAGAAGTAAGTCAGCGGGCCAGGCCGGGAGGTCGTCGCAATTTGGAGCGATGGTTGAGACGGATGACAAGGATGGGTGGCAGCCAAAAGAGGAAACTTGAACGAGAGGACGTCCACCGGGGAGAGACGGAGCCGTGAGGTCGGCCCTCCTGCAGGCACTTGATGGGATCGTTACATTGCAGGACCGGGAAGGATGTCGGCAGCGTGGGGAGAGACCTTGATCCAGCAGTGGATGGACAACAGCTGGCGGCGATGATCCATAATTTCAACCGGGTTTTCAGGTGTAGCTAGGTCTTTGCCCGGATCAGCAATAACTGCACACACACACGCAATTAATGATAAATTAAGTATACATCCAACTGTCTTGAGTACTACGATTTGGGATTCAAATGGCATGTCATCAGAATTGTTAGGTAGATTTAAGTCTGTCTTGAAAACTCACCTCCTTAAACTACCCTTTACCCCCAAACTATGACTGTGGCGAAGCCAAAACTGTCAACCGCATCAGAGACGAGTTGCGCCATCCACGCACACACCCTGGCGGTATCGCTGCAATCCATACAGCATCGACTACCACCTTGTATTGGTTGAAGGACCTTAACATTCAACGATGACATCTATACAAACTGTTGCTGCCCCCCCCCCTCACCCATGCCATACGAAAGAGGAAGAACCCCCTAGTTTTGGCCGTTTACCCTGCTTCTGATTATTTCTTATTTTAATTACACGGCACATTTGGATCTACGAATGAAATGCACCTAGCAAAGGTTAATTTATATTATTATGTACATTGCAGGACACATGAGAATGTGCGGTGCCGCTAGTGTGGATAATAAGCATGCAGTGAATCACCCCACCCTGGCTACTCGACGCACTGTCAAAATTCAGGATCGGCATTCGATTCAACAACGGATTCTTCTTCTTTGGCTTCTTTGTGCCGCCTCAATTATATCGTTTCTCGTTTTAGTTTGCCTCGGTTGTAATAGTGACAAAAGTGCAATTTGTTACGCACGCAATATTTCAGGGGCATCGTGAACGACCGTGATTGTGATGCTCACAGCCAAGTTCAGTGTCACTGGAAAGCCAGTTGGGGCACGAAAGAGGTAGGGCCTTTGAGTGGCTCTTAACAGTCGGTGAAGATTGCTGCGAGTGTGCAGTGGGGTGGCGTTCCAGATACTGAGGAATGTAACAGTTCTGTTCGCTCCATTAACCTAAGTTTAACACCAGCATATTATCGCCTGATGCATTACCATGTGCATGAGCCAAGGCTTAACTTTATTACACTAATCGATGCATTGCTGCATGCCTAATGGACAAGAGGCAAATTAAAGAATCTCATAAATGGTTGTCTGATATCACCTTCAAGTGGGCATCATTTAACCTGCACTACAGCAAAGGTTCCAGATTGAAATTCCTTCGTTTCGTGACACGATGCCGAGTGAACGTTTTTAAACGTAATCGGATAAAAGACAAACAAAAATGACATTTGAGAAGGCACACACTGGTCCTTGACAGCGACAGCCACGACAGATGCAGAACAAGTTTCCGCAGAAGATGCGATAATGTGCAGGCACGCCACGACGAAGCTTGCAAGACGACTGCGTAACAATTTCGAACGCCTCCTCGGCAAAAACAAACCTTGGGCAATGGGCGCTAGGGCCTGTTAGCCAGGCCTTCCCTGAAAGTATGCGAGGCAGAGAGCAGCTGGTTCCTGTAGTCATAGATCCTCTGCCACTCGGCGCTGCTCCGCAAGTGGTCGTTGTTCTTCCTGGCTTCGTAGTGGAACTGAGGACCCCTCATCTCGTACCTGTCATTACATAAAAAAAAATACATTGAATACGCCCGATCCTGTCGAATGTACGTATGTTGGACTTCTTTCGTACCGTATGTAACCAACCGTGCTAACTGTAGGTGCGGGGAGGAAGGACAACACACTAAACACAAAAAGCATTTCTAAAGAAATAAGTTTTCAATTTAGATTTAAAAGTGCACCGTTTCAGTGGCTTCCTAATATCGGAAGAGTGTTCCAGACGGCTACAGAAGCGTATGTGAAAGCGTGCAGTGCAGTGACCGTTCTATGGTTGAAAGCTAATCAGCTTTGAGCCTGGTTAGTAGCTTGATGGGAGACCACCAGGGCTTGTCAGGTGTTGTAGGTACAAAGCTACAGCTCCATGGTTAATCTTTACCCGTAGCCATCACTCCTCCTAGCGATGCGTCCTGGCCACTTTCTTCAATGGTCAGCATTACGCCTGTATGTTGCATGTGTTCTCTAATCCGTGTATTCTTCTTCCTGTCATTGAAACTAATCCCATGCATGTACACTTGAGGTGTATAGCAAGTTTTAAATATATATGCGGAAATATGTGTGGGGTTGGGTTAAAAGCTCTTGATAAAGTACCAATCAGCCGAAGATAGTGAGCATTGTCTTATCAGAGTTTGCAGAGATGTCAGTGTGTCATTCAAATATCCCGGAGAGTCCCAAGACTCCCTTTCAGGGGGGACCTGCCTTGGAATGTTGGGTCAATTTATTTTTTTAAACCCAGGGTGTTCCGGTCAAGTTGACCGAAATTTCCCCGTTACCCGGGAATGAGCACATCATGCACTGGCTCGTTCACGAACCAACTTGCTGTACTTCCTTCCCCTGGCCAGATGGCAGGAAATTTCAGAAAATCTGCATGAAATAAACAAACCCTTGCTTCTCAAGCGGAGTATTACAGATACGGCCACCACGCCCGGCTATCAGTCTCATGAAATGCAATAAGTTCTCATCCTCTGGAAAAAAAATCCAAAGCCATTTAAGAGCACAACATTCGCCAAACAGTGGATTGCAATTGTGCTGCTACAGATATCGCATTATTGTCGACATGGAACTTCCATTCAGAACTCTCACAGCAAGTAGTTTGACACGAAATACTACATACAGACAACAAGGTTATTATACCGGGGATCCAGACATCAGCTCCACAACCTGAACTTTCCCAAAATTGACATCTGTGGCTTTGTCACTGCACCAAAAATAGACGCTAGTCAAAGCCTTAAGAGTTATTTTTGATTCCAACCTTTCCTTTGAGCCCCATATCTGTAATGTTACCAGGTTCTCTTTTTTATACAGCTCAGACACATTGCCACTCTCAGACTCCCCTTTGTCTCTCTCACCCGCTCCCCTCTTCTGAAGGCGAGAAGTTAATGCATTCTAGATTTGAAGTTTTCGTGACTGCAGGGATCCATACCCTTTGGTTCTTTCGGTAAACTCACGTAGGTATAAAGTATAAAATAGATTAAATCACGACGTTTCGATTGCAACACAAGCAATCGTCATCAGGTGTGAAAACTACAGCAAGATTTATTTTTTTCCCACTTCAGCTAAACATTTTCTTGCTGTAGTTTTCACAACTGATGATGATTGCTTGTGTTGCAATCGAAACGTCGTGATTCAATTTATTTTATATTTTATACCTACGTGACTTTACCGAAAGAACCAAAGAGTATTCTTGGTGCTTTCGGTAAAGTCACGTAGAAGGGAAATAATAAAATAATACAAATATAAAACAATAAAATTTCTCATGACGTTTGGACTGCAACACAAGCAATCATCATCAGGTGTGATTTTTTTTTTGCTGTAGATTTCACACCTGATGATGATTGCTTGTCTTGCAGTGGAAACGTCGTGATAATTTTTATTGTTTCATATTTATATTATTTTATTATTTCCCTTCTACGTGACTTTACCGAAAGAACCAAGAATATGAATCCCTGGAAGTCACGAAAGCTTTAAATCAAAATTTAACCAAAGAGTAGTGAATGCACTCTTTAACTTTACCTCAAGTTGATTACCGCGATGCTCTCTTTATCGGAATGTCTGCGAGAAGCATTGTCCCAACTGCAGCTTGTACAGAATGTCGCTACCCGGGTTTTTAACAACATCTTAGAAATCTGTCCACATTACTCCAACCCTGGCCTCGTCACACTGGCTCCTGTGTCGTTTTCGAGTAGATTTCAAGGTGTTGTGTTTAACTTTGAAACCACGAGATGGTCCCGCTCCCTCTCACCTGACTGAACTCCTGTCTCTTTATATCCCAAGCTGTTTACTCTGTTTAAGACTCTAGACTATTACCGTTCCCTTGGTTCACAACATACACTCAGGGTGATAAGAGCGTTTGCATTTCATCCTCCCAACCTATGGAACTCCTTACCGCCCACAGTAAGCGTTGACGATTCCACGATGATTTTAAATCGCGGCTGAAGACGTATCTGTTTAATGAGACTCTTGCTAACATATAATTTAGGAGCAATGAGGTGTTTTTTTTTATTTGATTATACATCATATTAGTCTGCTTTGATAGTCACTCCGTATTTAAGTGCGATCGTTGAAAGATGCTATCGACATGAAATGTTATTGTTGTACATGTTTAAGAAGACCTACTCTCTTACCCAACACTAGATGGCAGGGATATAACGATTCACCCACCTCGCAAGTCAAAGGATTTTAGCAATTCATTCGAAAAATGTATTCTTACAACCATATTTAGCAAGGATGTGTGTTCTGAGCTAAATTTGATCGTGCAAATTGTTCTTCAACTTACCGGTCAGCTGAAACAATAATTAGCGCATTAAACACTTTGTATGCGTGACAATTTAACTCGCTATTTTGGGTGGTGGAGGGTTTCACAGCAAGATATTTGGCCAGATGATTATGTGGCCTAACCTGGATTAAATTATAAATTATCATACATTTGCTTAAAGCATTAAGTGATCAAGTATCATATGCATGATATTACGCATGCATCGCAAGGATCAATTTTAATCAATTACTCAATGCACGATGACATTATACACCAGCTGAGTCGGTATCTATTTAACAATTTTTAATTTACCAGGTAAGGCCCACTGAGCTATGTAGCTCTTTTCATAAGCGACCTGGCCATCACAAATAACAGCTCAGCGAAGTAGCTTACCACGTGGAAATTTATAACAGCCAAATACTCTAAAAGCATGTCGACTCTAAATGTGGAGGGAAAACCAGGAGGACCCGGAAAGAAATCCCACGCGACCACGGGGAGAACATGCAAACTCCAATATACAGGCATCAGGGTCGGGATTGAACCCACGACCTCCTGTATACCAGGAGGAGGTAGTCAATCTTTTCTTGTTCAGAGATGTCTGCAGGTTTCAGGGTGGAACGCGCAAGCGGTTAGCGTTAATTTTATTTAGAGAGGCGTAGCGCTGCTGTTTTTAAAGACATTGTTCTGTACTCCCCTCAGAGAACTGTAGTGAATCGGCCACACTCTACGATAGCTGGCGTCACTCTGTGCCACACGCCCTCCCGCATGGCACTTCCGATTCCGTTCGGAATCGATTTTATTCCGTTTGGAATCGATTGCATTTCGATGACGTACACGTACATAAATCAAAACGGAATCAGAAGAAAACCCGATTACGGACACGTACGTCATCGGAAAAAGAATGGGTTAACATCTCGCCACCGCGGCTACACGGCAAGTGAGGTCTTTGTTATTTGGGCTGCATCTTCATTTCACACCTCGAGGCCTTTGTTTTGTTTATCGCGTCCACATGGGACCACACCTCATGGCACCGTGACTCTCACTGAGCGAGAGGCCACGGGGCGACACGCACCACTTAGGCCGGGGCCCACGCGTCCTCTCCAGTTCCAGCTTCCGCTTGAGCTCCAGCAGCAGATCCTCCTCCACCCGCAGACGCTGCCGGCGCAGGCGGTGCAGAGCCTCCCCGTACGGAGACGTGCCCCCCAAGTGGCCTCCCAGAGAACCAACAAACCTGGCGAGGGGGAGGGGGTAGCGGCAGGGACAGGGTTCGAGTCAGAGAAGTTTAACATAGGGCAAGGGGTTAACAATTATGAAATGGGTGAGAGCTATGGCTTGGGATCCATTAGATTCCGTGTTGAAGTTAGGGTTGGGGATGAAGTCGGGTTTTAAGCATAGGGATAGCATTAAGGGTTGTAGCTAGGGTCCCAGGATTCTCCATTTCCGTCTCTTTCCTTGTTATTGTGCGTATTTCTCTCCAGGTCTCTCGTTGTGCCTGTCTCTCTATGAGACTGTTTCTCTTCTTTCCTCTTTGTGTTTCTCTCCGTGCTTCTGCATTTGCTCCTCTTCACGTGTATATTTCCTCGTGTAACTCCATGTAACTCTGCGTGCGTCTCTATTGTATCTCTCTTGCTCTGCATGTTTCTTTCTGTCTCTATCCCTGTCCGGGTCTCTCTTCATGTGTCTTTGCCCATGTTTCTCTTTGCATCACTCTCCATGTCTTTCCGTGTCACTCTCTGTTTTTTCTTCGTATCTCTCGGTGTGTCTGTGTCTCTTCACGACTCTATTCATGTCTGTCTCTCTTTGTCTTTGTTTTTTCCTCTCTCCAGGTAGCGTGTCTCTTTACATCTCTCCAGGTTTCTCTCATCTCTGGTCGTGTCCGTGTGTGTTCCTATGGGAGCGGTAGTGTCGCGGTTTGCGTGCTGTGCTACAAACCCAGGGACCCGAGATCAATTCCCGCTCACGGCTAACATCACTGACGATTATCTGAACCGGTCCTGGGCCTCCCCTATGTCGACTAAGCCTCAAATGATTACCTGGTGTGGTGTGTAAACATCGCCACATGGAAACAAAGGCGGCTGGGCGTGGTGCTGACCACCCACCCCCCCGTGTGCCATGGCAGCCTTCATAGGTGCTCGCTAACCGCACTTGCCCCAACAGTCTTGTTAAGGCTATGAGAGGGATCTTTGTCTGTGTTCCTATGGCCACATCCATGCCTCTCTACCTGTGTCATCAACACAGGCCTCCACTCGGCGTTGCGGCATCTCTGCGAGTGGGACGCACCTTTCGCTCACGTCCAGCGCCGTGGGACCCCGAGAAGCGGGCCTTGGACTGTGCTCGGCGGAAAGCGACCGCAGGGACGACCGCAGGCCCCGCCAGGGCCGCCGGCCACGCTCGTCCTCCGACAGCCGTCCCTCCTCGTCACTCCTCCCCCTCGCTCCGCTCCTGCGCGCTGCACGCAAAAGGTGGGCGGAAGCTCGCTTGTCGCCGCAACGTTCGATTTAACGGGCGGAGCCACCGTCTACGGTATAACGGTGACGTAGCTTTCAAGTTTGCAGGTGGTGTAGCTGCACCGGGGCACACAGGACGGTGGGGCCCGGGTGTCGTGCTATGGAGATGAGGGGAAACTTGAGACACTGGTGAGACCCATGGCACTGCTTGCACCAGTGCCCATGCCAACCATGGATTTTTTTTTCCCTAGGTCCTCCGGTTTTCCCCTCCACATTTAGAATCATGCGTCTAGGTTATTTCGATAATTTTGCCATGGATTTCGACATGATGAGCCATTTCGTTGAGCTATCATTTGTGGCCAGGTCGCTTCTGAAAAATAAGCTAATAGTTCAGTGGGCCTTATCTCGTAGATAAAAAATATATCTGTATATATTTTTAAAGTGATTTTTTTTTCTTTGACTATAATTTTCACTACTGAACATCCATCAAAAAGAGCTTATTACCTCATCGGATTCCTCCAGTATGAATAAGTATTCTGATTCTGATTCAACCACACTACACCACTGATCCAAGCTCCATATAGGCGTTGTGACCACTGAGCACAATTGGAATAAAAAATGAGCAGACAAATCTTTTTGTAAATAAAAATGTCATGCAAATGACCGAGCGCTGCACACGCCAGCGAGTGTGACGTACACCGCAGCGGCGGCGGCGGCCGTGAGCTGAGGTCGGGTTTTGCCGAGCTAGGCCTCCACGCCGGCTTCGGCGACTGCGACCGCGAGCGGGCCATCCCGCTCCTCCGCGCGCCTCTCCCGTCCGCGACCCAGCGCTCGAGCGAGCGCGAGCGGCGAGCCCTCGCCACCTCCTCCAGCACCACCGTCGCCACCGTCCGCACGGGTGACCTGCCCCGCACGGGGATCGCCGGCGGCAGCAGCGAGGGCACGCCGACGACGTGCGGAGCGCCGATCTGCACCGGGAACGCCTCGCGGTGCAGCCCCAGGCCGGTAGTGGTGATGGTGGTTGCACTGCCGTCCAAGGAAAACCTGGAGCGGCGTCTCGGACTGAGAAACCAGGCGTCGCCACTGTCGTCTTCAAAAGCGCCCATGCCGGGCTCCGGATCCGGCAACAAGGACCACTGTCGGGTCTTGCGGGTTTCTCCAGCGGCCTTGTCCGAGGTGAAGTCGACATCCAGGCTAGAACGGAGGTCACTCACCTGGAGCTTCAAGTTGTGTAGGCTCAGCTCCAGCTCGTCCAGCGTGGGGCTGTCGCCGTGGCCATGCACTGCCGAGGAGCCTGCTGCATGAGGTTAGAGCAAGGGTCAGGACCTTTCAAAGAAGAAGAGCCATCTTGTTTTGTGTTTGTCTTGACCAAGATAGGTCGAGAGCCACATCACACGCAGAGCTACTTGTACACATTTACACAAATACAGCAGGTATACAGCAGATGACAAACATTCTAATTTCAATAAGCAAAATATGTGATGGAATAAATTGCATCTATTTAGTGTTTTTTCCCCCCGAGTTATTCTTTAACAATAGAGTTTTACTGTACATTATGTCGTCACCAAGACATTCCATAGTGACCCATTCCATGCCACATTTCATCAATTATCTTTACGGAAAATTTTGTTTAAGGTTTACGGGTTTTTTTTTTAACGGCTGCCCGCAAAGGGGCAGCCAAAGAGCTGCCACGGGGAAGTCAAAGAGCCACCACATGCGGCTCCTGGAGCCGAAGGTTGCCAACCCCTGGGTTAGAGTGATTGGGAAGGAGCACGCTGCTACACACACAAAGACAAACCTCCCCCGTATAGCTATTCAGAATTTTGGGGCAAGGTCTGGGCAAGTGCTGTTCAAAAGCACCGATTAAGGTTGTGACACAGCAAACAAGAGAGATGGTTGGTTGTGGGCTGCACAATGTTAGGTCAGCTTGGCCCCACCAGTGCTCATGTTTGCACACTGCACAAATGCTAATTTTTCAACTGACATGGGTTGAAGCGAGGGCACCTTGCACCAGTCCAGGTATCACTCAGCACCCATTTGAGTCGTGGTTATAATTCAAGCTCAGTTCACCGGTTTGTTAGCACAGCACAGTGGAAACACCGGTTGTATGTCAAAACTGGAAAACACAACCGGAAGTGCATATCTAAAATACAATTTGGCTCTCGAATGTCTGGATGCAACTGATATGTATATGGGACATACATATCACGGAAAGGAGGAGGCCTATACTTGTGTATTCATATTCCCCAATTTTATGAAAAATATCTCACGTGATTGTTTTTGTGCGGTTATCGGTGACCATCAACTCACTACACTTGCAAACTCAGTTTAATCAAAGGCAACTGCCTGGATTCAAATCCAGGATCTCAGCGGTGCAAACTCAAGGCTCTGATTTTTGTGCCACCCGGCCACTTCTCGTTATGATATATTTGTAAGCAGTCATACAAGAGAAGAGAGGAAGGTCTTGAGGCTGGACCTCAACATGGGTAAGACGAGAGTTGTATTAGATATGCACGTGTGATGTACAGCTCCTTGAGAAAGGCGCTTTTGCAAATGTAATTTATTCATGTTATTTGCTGTGTTGCATTTTATTTTATTGCATCGCATACCAGCAGTAGGCATACCTGGGACACTCTTTGGCCTCATGTTCCCAGCTGAGAAGCTCGGGCTCTGGCTGAGGAAAGAGGACGTTGAAGTCCTCTGAGAGTTGGTGAGGTAGTCACCTGGCTTGTCTCTAGCAGTGGCACAGGGGACGAAACTACAAGTCAGAGTGATAAGGAGCCAACATTCTTTGCTAAGCGCAGTAGCACTGAGGCAGTGTTTTATTTCAATTCAAAGGCGGGAGATAATTAAAAGTCGCTTTTTGAAGAAAAAACCCGGAGTGCAAAGTACGTAGTGGGCATCTAACGATGCACTGATTCATCGATGGCAATTCGTACACAAGCTGGCAATCGTGCACCGAACGTTGCCAGTGTGAACCAATTACTTAATATGTATGTAAAGCATATGCCAATGTTACATTTAGGGCAACAAAAAAACTGCATGGAGAAAATAAAAGAGAAATGATACGAACGAGATAACAAAATATAAGTTTAAAATAATGAATTTTTGAAGAATTTTTGCATGCTTACGAAGGTAACTAAAAACATATCTCAAATCAACACGTTTGAAAAATGTCTCAAAACAAATATAATCGAAAGGAAACGTTTACAAATCTACAACACAATCACTAAAATGTACAAAGTTCAATGCTTTAAGACCACAACTCACTATCAGCGGGTCGCAAGTTTAAATCCCTGTTGACTCAGCCGAGGCGAATGGGAATAGATGAGAAGTTAGGTATTAACAAATAACAATAAAAGCTAATGTCCTTTATTTGTTTAGATCAACCTCACTGAACGTCAAGACGAGTTTTCAGGAGGTTCTCACATTTGACATGTTTGTACAATTAATGTTTTAACGAAATAAAATACTGTAAGCAGGCACGAATGTCCCCTCCACTCATCCCATCAGCCGCACGGACCTTTTTCTTGGGGGTGCGTAGTTTGAGCAGCACAGATTAAAGACGAGCACGCAAACGCGGGGCCGGTTTCGACACTCCAGTGTCTCATCAGCAGTCAGCCTGCCTCGAATCATTGCTGGTGAATTGCCGATCTTCGTTACGCCACGGGGTCTCGGTTTCGATGCACATTTACAAAGTGATATTATTCATAATCAAGGTTTTTGGGTCAGATCGCGTTATTTATAAATGTGTCGTAACCCTCCACCACCCGACACGGCCAAACAGTAAAAAATGTGTCACGTTGACGAAGCGAACGATTATGCTGCGCCCAACTGCAATACACAACATAATAATGCTCTCGATTTAAAGCTTTCGTGACTGCAGGGATTCATCTTCTTGGTTCTTTCGGTAAAGTCACGTAAAGTCACGTAGAAGGGATATAATAAAATAATAAAAATAAAACATAATAAAATACAATTGTATTTTCTTATGTTTATTTTTATTATTAATATTATTATTTCGACACTCCAGTGTCTCATCATAATAAAACTATTACGTAATAAAATACAATTGTATTTCATTATGATTTTTTTATTTATTATTTCCCTTCTACGTGACTTTACCGAAAGAACCAAGAAGATCAATAATGATCGTCATTAGCATTGATTACGGCGGCCTATAGCATATCCGCAACGGCGCCACGCGATTCTTAATCTTTCATAAAGAGTTCATCCGCTCCGAACGTGTACGAGCTCGTAACTCTGTTCGCCAATTCTACACCAAAACCCCATCGATATCCGAAGATTAAAACAAAATACTTCGATCTGCAGGCACTTGCTGTTCGCGTTGCTAGGCAACAACTCGCGGGTTGCCTAGCAACCCCTCGGATGCCCCTCCTCCCCCTGACTTAAAATTTTACATTTTAAACAACTCGACGCTTTCCCGGCCGCGGCTGCTTAATCTTTCGTGATTTAAACAACAACAAAACAACGCGCCGTAAACAAACACAAAGTTGTGGGGGTGGGTGGTGGGAAGACCTGAGGGCGGCCTTGAATCCGTGCAGAACGAACGCCGAGCGTGATCCGCGAGCCGACATCTTTGGGACGCCGTCGTGGTTGCTATGGGAGACGAAGAGGTGGGGGGGAGATGGGAAAGGGGGGTGGCGCCGATTGGTCCTTAACGCGTCACGTGCGCCGGGCCCGCAATCGATTCCGAAATGTGTAATCGATGGTCGATTCTGGTGTTATCGAATGCGAATCGAATCGAGTGTTTCCGAGTGAGAAAGTAACCGTGCGGGTAAATAAATATTCTTAGGTTTTTTCGGTAAAGTCACGTAGGTAAAACATCAAAATTAATAAAAAATATAATAAAGATCACGACGTTTCGGAGGCAACACAAGTCGTGCAGGTAAAGTCACGTAAATAGGTTCAAATTAAGAAAAATAAACAACAAAAATCACAACACAAGTGATCGAAACGTCGTAGTTTTTTTTGTTTATTTTATTAATTTGAACCTATTTACGTGACTCTACCGAAAGACCCAAAGAATATGAATTCTTGCACTCACGAAAGCTTTAAGTCGAGATTTAGCCGTGCACGTTGCAACTTGCGTTGTGTTTTAAGTCGGGGCGCGTGTACGTAGATGTGTGTGGCCTTAGAAGGGAAACGGTGCAATGGACGATGTTTCGGGCAATGGGCCTTCTGCGTATATGCTCTACGTCCACACACACAGTACCCACACGGTGCACGCACACACAGTACACTCACAATGTTGTATCTATGTGTATGTAGCTGTCTGTGTTCATGTGTGTGTGCGTACTTGTATCTCTGTAGGTGGGGAGCGGTGGTGTAGCGGTTAGCGCGCTGCACCACGAACCCGGCGACCCGAGTTCGATTCACGCTCACGGCCACCACCAGTGACGAACAATCCCAACCTGTCCTGGGCCTCCCCTAGATCGACTCAGCCTCAAATTAGTACCTAGTGCGGTGTGTAAACATTGCCACGGGAGAGACAAAGGCGGCCGGGAGTGGTGCTGGCCCACCCACCCCCTCGTGAGTTGTGCCGACAGTCTGGCTATATTACTGGTAGGAACCTCCTGGTTACACCAGCCCACAGGGGATTATTGTGTCCGTCCGTCGTGCAGGGAGGGGCTGGGTGGGGAGGGTGGGGCTGGGTGGGGAGGGTGGGTGGGTGGGGAGGGTGGGGCTGGGTGGGGAGGGGAGGGGCTGGGTGGGGAGGGTGGGGCTGGGTGGGGGCTGGGTGGGGAGGGGCTGGTCACCCCGTGGTGCCCTTATAAAACTCAACGTTTAACCTACTCACGCCGGCTTGTGCCCGCCCTCACAGTCGGGCATATTTGCGGAATACACCACGCCGCCGTTGACCCTGGCCATTGACCGAGCAACCCAACGTTCCTACCAGCTCCCTCCGCAGGAATGTGTTACGGGGGGGTCTTTGCGTAGTGAAACACCGATCCTTAATGATGACATTACCTCGCGTGTGAAGGAATTGAGAGGCTGTGTGAACAAGGGACGTGGCCACCACGACGGGAGACTGCAGGGATGAAACCCCCGGGACTCGCGGTGCCGAGTGAGAGCGTTCACAGCGCCACTGAGTGGACAGAGCCCCAGCCCTGCAGCTCGTGGCTCTGACTTGGGAGTGTGATCGGCAGGCAGCCACGGGGCTGTCAGTTGGGGCAGTTGAAGGGCAGTCGAGGGGCTGTCAGTTGGGGCAGTTGAAGGGCAGTCACGTGGTTGTGAGTTGGGGCAGTTGACGGGCAGTCACTGGGTTGTCGGTTGGGGCAGTTGAAGGGCAGCCACGGGGCTGTGAGTTGGGGCAGTTGAAGGACAGTCACGTGGTTGTGAGTTGGGGCAGTTGACGGGCAGTCACGGGGCTGTCAGTTGGGGCAGTTGAAGGGCATCCACGGGGCTGTCAGTTGGGGCAGTTGATGGGCAGCCACGTGGCTGTCAGTTGGGGCAGTTGAAGGGCAGTCACGGGGTTGCCAGCTGGGGCAGTTGAAGGGCAGCCACGGGGCTGTCAGTTGGGGCAGTTGATGGGCAGCCACGTGGCTGTCAGTTGGGGCAGTTGAAGGACAGTCACGTGGTTGTCAGTTGGGGCAGTTGAAGGGCAGTCACGGAGCAGTCAGTTGGGGCAGTTGAAGGACAGTCACGTGGTTGTCAGTTGGGGCAGTTGAAGGGCAGTCACGGGGCTGTCAGTTGGGGCAGTTGAAGGGCAGCCACGGGGTTGTCAGTTGGGGCAGTTGAAGGGCAGCCACGGGGTTGTCAGTTGGGGCAGTTGAAGGGCAGTCACGTGGTTATCAGTTGGGGCAGTTGAAGGGCAGCCACGGGGCTGTCAGTTGGGGCAGTTGATGGGCAGTCACGTGGTTGTCAGTTGGGGCAGTTGAAGGGCAGTCACGTGGTTATCAGTTGGGGCAGTTGAAGGGCAGCCACGGGGCTGTCAGTTGGGGCAGTTGATGGGCAGTCATGTGGCTGTCAGTTGGTGCAGTTGAAGGGCAGTCACGTGGTTGTCAGTTGGGGCAGTTGAAGGGCAGTCACGGGGCTGTCAGTTGGGGCAGTTGAAGGGCAGTCACGTGGTTGTCAGTTGGGGCAGTTGAAGGGCAGCCACGGGGCTGTCAGTTGGGGCAATTGACGGGCAGTCACGTGGTTGTCAGTTGGGGCAGTTGAAGGGCAGTCACGGGGCTGTCAGTTGGGGCAGTTGATGGGCAGTCACGGGGCTGTCAGTTGGGGCAGTTGAAGGGCAGTCACGGGGCTGTCAGTTGGGGCAGTTGAAGGGCAGCCACGGGGCTGTCAGTTGGGGCAGTTGATGGGCAGTCACGGGGCTGTCAGTTGGGGCAGTTGAAGGGCAGTCACGGGGCTGTCAGTTGGGGCAGTTGAAGGGCAGTCACGTGGTTGTCAGTTGGGGCAGTTGAAGGGCAGCCACGGGGCTGTCAGTTGGGGCAATTGACGGGCAGTCACGTGGTTGTCAGTTGGGGCAGTTGAAGGGCAGCCACGGGGCTGTCAGTTGGGGCAATTGACGGGCAGTCACGTGGTTGTCAGTTGGGGCAGTTGAAGGGCAGCCACGGGGCTGGATATCTGTGGACATGTGTGGGAAAGAGCTTTATAGCTCATCTTTATAGCTCATCGATTTAAAGCGTTCGTGATTGCAGGGATTAATCTTCTTGGTTCTTTCGGTAAAGTCACGTAGAAGGGAAATAATAAAATAATAAAAATAAAACATAATAAAAAAATTCTCACGACGTTTCGGCCACAACGCAAGCAGCCGTCCTCAGGTGAAGAACAGGTCTAAATGAATATTTTGAAACGTCTCGTCACGTGGCCACACCGACGGGCGTGTCCAGTCCCGTTACTCTGGTCACGTGGTAATACCCCTCCGCCCTCCCCCCACGCGGTATCACGTGACACGATTGCCCCCCCCCCTCTCACAAACCCCCCCCCCTCACCATGCCCCCCCCCCCCTCCGGCACGTGATTGGCTGGCACGGACGACGGGTCACGTGCTCGTCCCAACCAACGATCCAATGGGAAGCGCCGATGCTGGCCAGGCAATGCTTAAGCGGACTGCGAAATATAGAACTAAGCTCGCCTCTGTACGCGCCTATCTATTGTAGGGTTTTATCGCCGCTTTAAATATCGCTAAAGAACGCCTCGTTTAAGCGCGATATTAACGCCGCGAGCGATAAAAAAAAATTATTTAAGAACAAGAAAAACCACGCTATTATTATTACTACTTTTAATTGTTTATCGTCAACGGGTGCTCGCAAGATGAACGAGTCGAAGGTGCGTGCGTGCGTTCCGTTTGATTGTGGTGGCTTTTTGCATGTAACTTTGTGTATTTGTATTGCTGCTGCTTCACGCCAAGCGTATGATGCCTCTTACAACCCATACGGTTTTAACCCCGTATTCTTGTACAGGGAAATTGAGTTTTCAGGTCCATACTGCATACAGCCGTTTCAATACGGGTTAAAAAATGTGTCTTTGTGATGTGTTTCTCGCCTTGTGATGGGGACTTTTGTAGGATGAACGTTGAGATTTATAAGGGAACGGGATGACCAATAAGGTCTTAATTGGTCTGTAATTAGGTGGGGCACTGATAAGGGGTTGACAGGTATCTGAAACACTACTATACACCACATGACTATACACTACACTACTATACACTACACTATACACCACATTACTATACACTACACTACTATACACTACACTATACACTACACTATATTACTATACACTACACTACTATACACTACACTACTATACACTACATTACTATACACTACACTACTATACACCACATTACTATACACTACACTACTATACACCACATTACTATACACTACACTATATTACTATACACTACACTACTATACACTACATTACTATACACCACACTACTATACACTACACTATACACCACATTACTATACACTACACTATACACTACATTACTTTACACTACATTACTATACACTACACTATACACTACACTATACACCACATTACTATACACTACACTACTATACACCACATTACTATACACTACACTACTATACACCACATTACTATACACTACACTATACACTACATTACTATACACTACACTATACACCCCATTGCTATACACTACACTATACACCACATTACTATACACTACACTATACACCACATTACTATACACTACACTATACACCACATTACTATACACTACACTACATTACTATACACTACACTATACACCACATTACTATACACTACACTACTATACACCACACTACTATACACCACACTATACACTACAATATACACTACACTACTAGACACTCACTACATTACTATACACTACACTATACACTACATGACTATACACTACATTACTATACACTACACTATACACTACACTAGATTACTATACACTACACTATACACTACACTACATTACTATACACTACACTATACACTACATTACTATACACTACATTACTATACACTACACTATACACCATTACTATACACTACACTACTATACACCACTACTATACACTACACTACTATACACTACACTACTATACACCACATTACTATACACTACACTATACACCACATTACTATACACTCTACTATACACTACACTATACACTACATTACTATACACCACATTACTATACACTACACTATACACTACATTACTATACACTACACTACTATACACCACATTACTATACACTACACTACATTACTATACACTACATTACTATACACTACATTAATATACACTACGTTAATATACACTACATTTATATACACTACATTATTATACACTACACTATACACTACATTACTATACACTACACTATACACTACACTACTATACACCACATTACTATACACTATACACCACATTACTATACACTACACTATACACTACATTACTTTACACTACACTATACACTACATTACTTTACACTACACTATACACTACATTACTATACACTACACAGTACCATACCTGTCACAACCAATACAGCCTACCCCGTATTCTTGTACAGAGACATTGAGTTTTCAGGTCCATACGGCGTATAGCCGTTTCAATGCGGGCAACAACAACAACAACATTGTCTATTTGTGTTGTGTTTCTCTCACCTTGTGATGGGACTTTGTAGGATGAACGTTGATATGTATAAGGGCACGGGGTATAACCATTAAGGTCTGAATTGGTCTAAAAAGGTAGGGCACTGATAAGGGATTAAACACAGAACCAGAAACATAGACAGACATATAAGCAGACAGATATCACAGTCTATGTTTCTGGTTCTGTGTTTAATCTCTCTCTCAAATTTAGCATTCTCAGGAAGAACGTAATCAACCAGATAGGGTGTTGACTGTTATGTTATCCGACTCTCTGTTGTATTACATTACATTTCTAAGTATACTAGATTTTTGTTGCTCTTTCTTTTATACCTGATGATGATTGCTTGTGTTGCAATCGAAACGTCGTATGCTAGTATTTAATTTAATTTATTAGTTTATCTTTATACGTGACTTTACCGAAAGAACCAAAGAATAATTCCTGCGGTCACGAAAGCTCTAAATTAAGTTTCACTGATAAGGGGTTGACGTGTGTGCAAATGTGTGCTAGTTTCCGATTATACTGGTAGGAACCTCGTGGTGTTACACCAGCCCACAGGGGATTATTGTGTCCGTCCGTCGTGCAGGGAGGGGCTGGGTGGGGAGGGGCTGGGTGGGGAGGGTGGGGCTGTTGGGGAGGGGTTGGGAGGGTGGGGCTGGGTGGGGATGGTGGGGCTGGGTGGGGAGGGTGGGGCTGGGTGGGGAGGGTGGGGCTGGGTGGGGAGGGTGGGGCTGGGTGGGGAGGGTGGGGCTGGGTGGGGAGGGTGGGGCTGGGTGGGGAGGGTGGGGCTGGGTGGGGAGGGTGGGGCTGGGTGGGGAGGGTGGGGCTGGGTGGGGAGGGTGGGGCTGGGTGGGGAGGGTGGGGCTGGGTGGGGAGGGTGGGGCTGGGTGGGGAGGGTGGGGCTGGGTGGGGAGGGTGGGGCTGGGTGGGGAGGGTGGGGCTGGGTGGGGAGGGTGGGGCTGGGTGGGGAGGGTGGGGCTGGGTGGGAGGGTGGGGCTGGGTGGGAGGGTGGGGCTGGGTGGGGAGGGTGGGGCTGGGTGGGGGCAGGGTGGGGCCTGGGTGGGGAGGGTGGGGGCTGGGTGGGAGGGCTGGGGCTGGGTGAGGTGGGCTGGTGGGGATGGGGGGGCTGGGTGGGGAGGGTGGGGCTGGGTGGGGAGGGTGGGGCTGGTGGGGCTGGGTGGGGAGGGTGGGGCTGGGTGGGGAGGGTGGGGCTGGGTGGGGAGGTGGGGCTGGGTGGGATGGTGGGGCTGGGTGGGGAGGTTGGGCTGGGTGGGGAGGGTGGGGCTGGGTGGGGAGGGTGGGGCTGGGTTGGGGAGGGTGGGGCTTGGGTGGGGAGGGTGGGGGCTGGGTGGGGAGGGTGGGGGCTGGGTGGGGAGGGTGGGGCTGGGGTGGGGAGGGTGGGGCTGGGTGGGGAGGGTGGGGCTGGGTGGGGAGGGTGGGGGCTGGGTGGGGAGGGTGGGGCTGGGTGGGGAGGGTGGGGCTGGGTGGGGAGGGTGGGGCTGGGTGGGGAGGGTGGGGCTGGGTGGGGAGGGTGGGGCTGGGTGGGGAGGGTGGGGCTGGGTGGGGAGGGTGGGGCTGGGTGGGGAGGGTGGGGCTGGGTGGGGAGGGTGGGGCTGGGTGGGGAGGGTGGGGCTGGGTGGGGAGGGTGGGGCTGGGTGGGGAGGGTGGGGCTGGGTGGGGAGGGTGGGGCTGGGTGGGGAGGGTGGGGCTGGGTGGGGAGGGTGGGGCTGGGTGGGGAGGGTGGGGCTGGGTGGGGCTGGGTGGGGAGGGTGGGGCTGGGTGGGGAGGGTGGGGCTGGGTGGGGAGGGTGGGGCTGGGTGGGGAGGGTGGGGCTGGGTGGGGAGGGTGGGGCTGGGTGGGGAGGGTGGGGCTGGGTGGGGAGGGTGGGGCTGGGTGGGGAGGGTGGGGCTGGGTGGGGAGGGTGGGGCTGGGTGGGGAGGGTGGGGCTGGGTGGGGAGGGTGGGGCTGGGTGGGGAGGGAGGGGCTGGGTGGGGAGGGAGGGGCTGGGTGGGGAGGGAGGGGCTGGGTGGGGAGGGAGGGGCTGGGTGGGGAGGGAGGGGCTGGTGACCCCATGGTGCCCTTATAAAACTCAACGTTTAACCTACTCACGCGAGGAAGCTGGCAGGAACGTTGGGTTGCTCGGTCAATGGCCAGGGTCAACGGCGGCGTGGTGTATTCCGCAAATATGCCCGACTGTGAGGGCGGGCACAAGCCGGCGTGAGTAGGTTAGACGTTGAGTTGGTTACGTTGAGTTTTATAAGGGCACCACGGGGTGACCAGCCCCACCCCTCCCATCCCCCACCCAGCCCCTTCCAACCCTCCCCACCCAGCCCCTCCCCACCCTCCCCTCCCTCACCCAGCCCCTCCCTCACCCAGCCCCCCTCCCTGCACGACGGACACAATAATCCCCTGTGGGCTGGCGTAACCAGGAGGTTCCTACCAGTATATTTGGGTTGCATGGCCACAATCCACTGTGGGATTTGTCTTTGATGTATCTCTTCGTGTCGCTTCTGGAAAATAAGTTAATACCTCAGTGGGCTTTGCCTGGGAGGATGGGGATGGTTTAGTTGTATATGTGCTTGGGTGATCTGTTTACCTTTCTTGTACTTGACCCTACTATCGTGTTATTGTATTGTTGTGACGTTCTGACCCGCACCTACTGGACATCTGTAAAAACAAGAGAGAGCTTCATGGCTCATCGGATTCCTCCAGCATGAATACATATTCTGATCTATATGTGTATCTATGTATCTGATCTCCATGAGTCTCTTATCTCCATCATTACGTATCTTTATGATGCGTGTCTCTCTATTGGTGTACTCAAGGCTGTAATGGCATAACTGTTGGCATTGCTTTTAATTTCCCGTGGCTCGTCTTGTGGAGGTGGGGAGCTTTAGACGCACAGAACAACACTGACATTTCGATTTAAAGCTTTCGTGACTGCAGGGATTCATCTTCTTGGTTCTTTCGGTAAAGTCACGTAGAAGGAAAATAATACAAATAAAACATAATAAAATAATTCTCACGACGTTTCGGGCCACAACGCAAGCAGCCGTCCTCAGGTGAAGATATATGAATGACTCTGTCATTCAGACTCTGTCTTCTCGACAGACCTGTTCTTCACCTGAGGACGGCTGCTTGCGTTGTGGCGGAAACATCGTGAGAATTATTTTATTATGTTTTATTTGTATTATTTTATTATTTTCCTTCTACGTGACTTTACCGAAAGAACCAAGAAGATGAACACTGACATTGCCCACAGCTTAGCCCCTAACTAAGCCGCCTATAACATCTGTTATGCACAGAGGTGGGTCAGTCGATCTAAGCACTATCCAGGATCAACCCTGCTTATCTTCCTGAGATCTGACGAGATCGGGCCTATTCCGGGTGAATTGCTCATGGTATTTTAATTATCGTTTACCCTTATTATTTAGCCAATGTTAGTTACAATTAAGGTTTACTATTTTTATTTTGAGGTTCATTCGTTGCGTATGGCATCCTTTCGTACTGAGAATAATTGCCATGTTCTTTATTTAACTTGTTGGTATTTCGCTTCTTAAAAAAAAAATTCACGTGAAAAAATCCATTTTGAGATTTTAAAAAACATCTCGTTTGCAACTTGATTTAACCATGAGATGATCTGGCCAAATGTGTGTCGCTAACACGCTCTGCGACCCGACGCAGCCAAAAAAATGGATTGTTACGTTTACAAGTGTTTAGCGTCGGAGACTGTGATTGTTCAAATGTATCAAATTTTGAATCCTAATTGGCTGCGAAACCCCTAAATCTTAGGTCAACATGGGAACCTGTTATAAATATAAGTACGTTGAACTTCTTTAGCAGCACCGTACATAGCCAGTTGCGCTAATCGGAGTTGTGGGTGGGGGAGGGACCACAGCAAACTAAAGACAAGTAAGCAGTTCTAAATAAATAAGTTGATGCAAGAAACTCATTCACAGTGGTGACCCAGGTCACTCTTGCGAATGAGACTCGGCCTGGTCTCTTTGAGTTCTCGCCACCCGGTTACACAAATGAAACCTGAAACATCGTCAAGCCACACGGACCAGTTCCAACCTTCCACGCCACCAATGGTCGAGCATCAACCGAATCGGGACCGGGCCACGTGGCCGATGCGGCCACCTGATGCACAAGTGGTGCATCAAAGATTCGGCGAACCTGTGAGTGCGGCCACGAATGCCAAAGCATGGACCGCATCGTAAACACTCCGCTGCTGTTGCTGCTGTTTTCACTCCTTTAAAGGAGGAATGGACGAAATCCACTCTGCGTTTGAGCAGACAATTGAGTGGATAACAAATCTAAATTACATCTGTAATCATCATGGGACCTCCTTTTCCAGTACCAAAATATACTAATAGGGTATTTCCCCTTTTTTCTGGCAACAAAACTGACACCTTTTGCAAGGAGTCATGCTTACATTAACCACAATACTTGCAGTCAAATGCAAACAAAAAACAATACTCTGATAATGTATGCATTGTCTTTGAAACTGATTGGTCCACACCAGAGACAGATTTCTTTAGAGCCTAGTCTCATATGGTGTTCGACCAGATGACGCCAAGAGGCGCACAGTTCAAAGACAACGCACTACCAGAGTAATGAGAGCTCGGGGTGAGCAGCTACATCATGGGACCTCCTTTGCCAGTACCAAAATATACTAATAGGGTTTTTCCCCTTTTTTCTGGCAACAAAACTGACACCTTTTGCAAGGAATCATGCTTACATTAACCACAATACTTGCAGTCAAATGCAAACAAAAAACAATACTCTGATAATTTATGCATTGTCTTTGAAACTGATTGGTCCACACCAGAGACAGCTTTCTTTAGAGCCTAGTCTCATGGTGTTCGACCAGATGACGCCAAAAGGACTAATCAGTTTCAAAGACAATGCATAAATTATCATAGTATTGTTTTTTGTTTGCATCTGACTGCAAGTATTGTGGTTAATGTAAGCACGATTCCTTGCAAAAGGTGTCAGTTTTGTTGCCAGAAAAAAAGGGGAAAACCCCTATTAGTACATCTGTAATCTTCTGCTGTTAATCCCTACGAGAGAAAGACGAAGACCGACCAGTATGATGGAGTATGGCCACAATGACCAACACAGCATAATGGGGAGGACTGCATCCAGCAGCGGATTGACAAACGTCTGAAAAGTATTTTCACTCTAAAGAGTGATTTCCTACTCAGAGAAAAGTCTCGGTGAGCCAAAAATAACCATTTTCAATAGGATACTGTTTTGAAATGTTGGGCCAGTTTCTTTGTTGGCATGTGATAGGAAACCAGAGTACCGAGAGAAATCTCACACACACGGGTATAACACCCAAAGGTCGATACTGATGTCAGCACCCTGCTTGCTCTGCTGCTATCTACTAGCCTCTGCTCTGCTGAGTTGTTGAAAGTCTTGACACCGATTTAAAATATCACTACATGACCCACCAACCCCGGCTCCTAAATGCTATATCACAGCTGCTGTAATTGAACCCCCACATGCCTCTATCGGGAATTGAACCTTCGCTTATGTGGTTCGGTGGCAGGCTGCCTGGTCATTGAACGCCACTCAATATGCGGGTCCACCCACGCGTATATGTGCGATCATCTCGAATGTTGATTGAACTACTTGTTACTGATAATGAGAGAGATCAATCATGATATTTATGGTCATTAAGTTAATTAAACCGCACTTGGGAATTCCGAATATCGATCCCCTCGAGGGTATGTCCCTTCGGCTATAAATCCAGCCCTTGTGCCATGCTTAAATAGATTAGAAAGAGTAGTTATATGCGAGGAGGTCCCTGATCTTAATAATGACCCTTGGTAATAACAGTAAAATATGATGATGATGACAATGAGTCAAACGTGTCTCCCTGCTCAAATGGCCATTGCGCAGCACTCGCCGAGCCTAGACTTTCGATCGTCCACCGTATCATCATGCCCGTCACTTCGCACTACAGCTCACGGGAGAAGTCTCCGCAATAGCGCGAGTCACAACCTCCTCCGCTCGACACCAAGGACCGTCACTGCCAGGCGTCGTTTCTCTGCGTGGCAGCACCGGTATATCTCTCCGCTCCTGTCCCCCTGCACTACAACTCATGGTAGAACTCTCAATATCGCGACTCACAACCTCCTACGCTCTATCCTAAGGACCGTCCCTGCCAAGCGTCGTTTTTCCGTCAGAAGCCGGCCATCACCGTCACACTGCATATTTGCAGCAACATTCAATCTTCACCGACTTTTTAAAGACACTTAATAAGTCCAGATTTTGATCGACGCCGAGCTTGGCTCCGTGCCTCCCAGGGGCCACGATCATTTATGCCCGTGAAATATATTGTGTGCGTCACAAATTGCGTCATCTTTATTATTTCTGTCGAAGACAATGTAACGTTGGGGAAAACTCCTCATTCCTATGGCAGGGTCCATTCCCTCCCTAGCACTCTTTTCCCGCACTTCCAATTTGCACGGCCGGCTATGAACGGTGCGGAAGAAGATCAACAGACACTGAGGAGATAATGATGTTGATTTTTTTATTTTGGGCTTTCAATATTGAGTCTGGTTCTTTGAAACTCCACCCCTCGCAACTGGAAATATCAATCGTCGTGAGCCATGATCGACCCACTGCTCGATGAACGCCTCCCCAAACCGTTGCTACGTCACGGTGCAAATACCAATGCAGCTTCTGTACGTGTGCGTGTATATGTTGAACTTCTTTGGAACCGTACAACAAAACATAAGAATAGGCTTTACCCTTTCTGGCAATGAAACAGGATGTGTTAAGATTCTCAAACACCAAATACTGACAACTATTGCAAGGCATCACACCTGCATTAGCGACACATACTTGTGGGAAATCATGCAAACAAACACGCTCCGATTATAATAAACGGCATTGTCATTGAAACCGATTGACGCACACCAGAGAAAGCCTTATTGCATTACCTTGTTTCACCAGTGTTAGACCTGAGAACGCCAAAAGATGAACAGTACAAAGGCAAAGCAAGTATTAAAGTATTAATGGCTCGGGTTGAGGCGATCTATCTATTGGACCTTTTTTCTTGTATTGCCAGAAAGGGTAAAGCCTATTCTTATGTTGTGTCCTCATCAATTAGATACTGACAAAAAAGGAACCCATAGATATCACCAATTGCTGTTGTTGGTTTTATCCATTGCTATGCAATGGTTTCAGTGCAAGGGCGCCACAGTGGCAAGATGTTAACTACCTCACCTGGTATGCAGGAGATCTTGGGTTCGATCCCCATCCCTGACACCTGTATATTTGGAGTTTGCATGTCTCTCTCCCCGTGGTCGCGTGAATTTTTCTCCAGGTCTTCCGGTTTTTCCCTCCACACTTAGAATCAACATATGTTTAGAGTGGCTGCTATACATTTCCACGTGATAAGCCACTTCGTTGAGCTATCATTTTTGGCCAGGTCACTTCAGTCAGCCTTACCTGGCAATTTCGTTTTGTTTTTAAATCCTTTATATTCAGTTCACTTGCGTGCTTGCTTGCTTATGACCGTGCAAATCTTTCGGTCGTTTTTTAACCCACTTCCCGTGATCCAATCGAGCTGACATTTTGCACACAGACTCGTTGTGCGTGACAATGTATTTTCGTGAAAATACGAAAATACCAATTGCTTAATGGTGGCAGGCAATCATCTGACCCATAGGTGGCAGCCATCTCAAGCCAGACGACGAGAGGACTCTAGCCGCCACGCATATAAAGGATTTATAGTGAAAAACTTTGTTTTTACGGGTAAATTTTTTAACGCTTTGTAGTAAAATGGCAGCCTCGTGGTGTGCGTCCCCCCCCCCTCCTCCTCCACCCCGTCGCGTTCCTTTCAAGAACCAGTCGGCGAGTAAACCGAAGCCCGGCTCACTGGACTCGGCCACCAAGAGGGACAAGCCGAGGACCCCGAAAGAGGCCGGCAACAAATTGGACAAAAACAAGCAGCAAAAGACGGCACTGCAGGAGACCAAGGCGCGGCAGAGAGCCGAGGTTAGTTTTCTCTACATCCGCTCCCGTACGGCACAATCTCGACACGGTGGCGCGATGCTAACTATATTCTTAGGTTTTTTTTTCGGTAAAGTCAAGTAGGTAAAAAATTTAAATTTAAATTAATAAAAGTAAAATAAAAAATTAAAATCACGACGTTTCGGAGGCAACACAAGCTTCCGTCTTCAGCAAGCGTGCTGTGACGGTTCCACCTGAAGACGGAAGATTGTGTTGCCTCCGAAACTTCGTGATTTTTATTTTATTTTTATTTTATTTTACTTTTATTAATTTTCATTTTTTACCTACGTGACTTTACCGAAAAAACCTAAGAATATGAATCCTTGCAGTCACGAAAGCTTAAAATCTAGAAGAGATGCTAACTACCTCGCCAGGTATACAGAAGGTCGTAGGTTCAATCCTGACCCTGACTCATGTATATTTGCAGTTTGAATGGGTCTCTCCTCGTGGTGGTCATGTGGATTTTTCTCAAGGCCCTCCAGTTTTCCCCTCCACATTTAGAATCAACATGTGTTTAGAGTATTTGGCTGCTATACATTTCCACATGATAAGCCACTTCATTCAGCTTTGATTTGTGGCCTGGTCGCTTCTGGAAAAGTGCCTATACAGCTCAGTGGGCCTTACCTGGTAACATAAAAAATAGTTTAGTTTTCTAAATGAACAAATATAATAGACGTTCCAGACAGTCACCCTTCTTCGGACCACATTCTATGATTTGTCTTGTCTATGGACAACACGTCCAGGAGCTAATTTGCCAATGGCAAGGTCTGATAGCCACGATAAGGCTTTCAGCAGTCTTAGAGGCCGTGTAATTTTGCTCCTCCTCCGCTGAAGGAACAACAGACTACGGTGGCGTGGCTTGCGATATGGCCACCACCGTTTGGGTTGCACGGCCACATAGAGCACGTTAATCATTCTAGATTTGAAGCTTTCGTGACTGCAAGGATTCATACTCTTAGGTTTTTTCGGTAAAGTCACGTAGGTAAAAAATTAATGAAAAATAAAAATAAATTATAAAAAATAATATAATAAATCCCGACGTTTCGGAGGCAACACAAGTCTCCGTCATTAGGTGGGACCGTCACAGCTAAATTTACTGTATCAAGTGAGGAAAAAATCCAAGAGACAAGCTCTTAAATACAAGTTAAGGGGGAGGGGGGGAGGGGCTTATCTGAATGTGGTAGCCAGGGAATGGAATGGTGGGGGGGACGGGACTAAAAGAGAACAATTGGTGCACCTCGACTCGGGGTTGTGGCCGGTGTTGGCTGATAATCAAAATAAAAAAAGAAAGCAGTACTGTTAAACGCTGGGGATGTCAACACTCGGTAAAGTAGAATAGTACCTGTCAGATAAGATGGTACAAATATGTGTAGTTAAATCTTTTTTACATGGTTAATAACATCTTTCCAATGATTACTCAGTTTGTACCCATCATCACGGTTGAAGTTATGTCTGTGTTTGTATATCTGGATGGCTTCGTGTACAAACTTTTGATGGTAGCCAGAAGGTTTGCAGAGCACCTTGGTCTCGGAAAAGACAATATCATGAGAGCCCACAGCGTTGTAGCAATGATCGGCAACGGCGGAAGACTCAATTTTGCCGCGTTTCAGATCTGACTTGTGCTCGCGGACACGATCAGAGATATGACGTTTCGTTTCCCCAATGTAACAATCACCACAGATACAACTCACGTTAATCATACCTACAATATTACGTTTGCCTGTGCATCCTTATTGTCAATCCACTGCTGGATGATGGCCTCCTTGATGCCTGCATGGGTTGCGAGGGTCGTTTGAGCATACTTCACCAAGCTGGTCAATGCAGAGGTTGGCGAGGTGAGCGTAGATGTTAGTCAGTTTAACACGTAGGCTTTCACGACCAATCGTATCCATAATAAAGGTTTTTTTTTGGCTTAGATCACAGAAATTCTGGTTGTCGCCTGACCAGGCTGGTTGTAATCACCAGCGAAACGTCGTACTCGAATTGTAAATGTGGATTTATTCTCCAACACACCATTGTAACTAATTAGCCAGTTTTGTTTACTCAAGAAACCTCACTGATCAGCTGTATGTGTGTGTGGCAGGTTTAAGGATGTGGAACTAATTGTTGATGCTGCTGCAGCGTTGGTAGTGATGCACAAGCCCAATTAACAAAATAAACAGTGTGGCCTTAAAAAAATTGAAATACATAAGCGACGTTTTGGGCTATAACCCTTCTGGGGACTTTCTCATAGTGCCACAAAGAAGGCCTCATTGTCCGAAACTTGGGCTGTTGTATTTATATTTCATTTAAGACAGTTTTATTGGTGTATATTTTCCAGGTTTTTTTGGTTGTCTGTCAATAGATGTGGATGCATAGAAGAACAATACAACGATGGATTTTCCCACACTGCCTTCTGCTTTGTGAATCGCGACTGAGCAGTTTCGCAGAATGCTGTGCAACGTTTAATGACTATGACCTTGGGTATGCAATGCTACTTTGAGCAACTGGGAAAAAAAAATCCGCTACTTTTTTGCATTAACTTGGTCTTACAACCCAACAAAGTTTCTCCAGGGGGATCTTTGGAAAGCTGCCATGCAAACTCAAGCTGTGCGGTAAAATTGCTCTCCGTATTATCCCACGTGAAATTAAAATTTCATGCATAATTCATAGCTTTCTAATGTGCCACCACGCACGTCAGTTAAGCAGCTTTTCTGGGGGCGCTGGTGGGGCGCGTATCACGGATTAATAAATATCGCAAGCAAACGCTCATTACTCCCTGCAGCGACAGGAAACAGAAATGCCGCCACAACGTGCCCTATTGGTACGAGTTGTGATGGATTATTGTAAATAATAATCCCATCAACCCCTGCTTCGAAAGCGCCCGCCGCAGATATAGAGGCATGCGCCCTCGACAGCTCTGACGCGGCGGTCTCCGCTCAGGATGTGCGTACCTGTCAATCCCTTATCCGTGCCTTCCTTCATTACAGACCAATTCAGACCTTATTGGTCACTCTGTGCCCTTATAAATCTCAACGTTCATCCAACAAAGTCCCATCACAAGGGAGAAACACAAACAAATAGGCAAAACAAATGTGCCCGTATTGAAACGTCTGTACGCCGTATGGACCTGAAAATTAAATTTCCCTGTACAAGAATATGGGTGAACCGTATGGGTTGACAGCTATGGACGTGTTCCTGATTTTGGCATAATTTTTTGTTTTTTTTGTCCTTCCCCCACACCTCCAATTAGCACGGTTTGGCTACGTACGGTGCGAGAGAAGTTCAACTTACACACATTCAATCCGAAAATCGAGCCTCGATATGAAACGCCGCATGATCCGTAGAAATAAATGTGCTCGGATTGATCTAAACAAATGAACGACACAGGAAGTGGTGTTGCTGTGGTGAAGTCACGGGAATTGACGTCGCTTTCATGATATCACTTCCACACTTTGCCTGCCGCTCGGCATTGAGTGATGTCACTATTGTTGGCACGAAGACATTAAGTGATGAGGTAATGCAAATTATGAAAAAATCTGAACAAACGATTTGGTGATGGTGTTGCTGCATTGGCAGTGGTGCACAAGCACAATTGACGAAAAAAAAACACAACACGTCCGTCACCAACGCTGCGGCGTTAAAATAAAATATATACTTGGTGACGTTTTGGGCAATGACCCCTTCATCGCGCGTAAATGAAGCATGCATAGAAAGTCAAAAAATTTCCTCCAAAATATGAGAATCCAAAAAATCGTAAATGTTTACTTTCGAAACTCATCGCTGGCCCCTGCCGATTGCTGCTTGCGCTGGCGCGGTGCGGGCACACAGATCTACGCGCTCAACAAGGTGATGACAGAACTGGAGCAGCAGCAGTTTGAGGAGTTCTGCCGCCAGATGCACCAGCAGATCGCCAACGGGGAGGAAGGCGGCACGGAGGCGCACGACGGCGACATCATCGCCGCGTGCCGCGTCTGATTGCGGCCACCAAGAAAGAGCAACCCCTTACACCTCTCACACCCCCCCCGCCCCCCACTTCCCTCCTCCCCCCCCACTATCGCCCTCACCGAGAGCCACGTGCAAGCGACCCGGCGGTCGAAATCGAGATTCTTAACTTGGCGTCAGAACAATCGGCGCAATTCACGGACGCGGTTCGATTTGCGAGATTGTTCTTTTGATGTCAAATGGTAGCGCCTCCAGTGGCTGCTGCTGCTGCTGCTGGGGTGACGTGAGCCTGTCGTGCAGAACTTGGCGCGAAGCAAAAAAAGCATTGGTTGTTACACGCGCGATCTCATGCATTCATAGCGGGTCGAATAATCGGTATTGATCGACGACTTTACACTTCGTTCTACCCAATTTTTCTTAAGCTCCGTAATACGGCAATCGGATTATGTGCAGGGTAATCGGTCGATGCAAATTATACACGGACACACGTCGAAGCCATTGGAACAAACGAGACGGAACAAATTTCAAGCTTCCAGGTTTATTCAAATTTAACCAGGTGAGAACGCAAGAGGCCAGGATGAGTCTCATTTGCAAGAGTCACCTTGGGGCATCAGTCTGCCAGTACCGTTGGTGGAGGGGTGGCACGGTGATATTTGCTATTATGTACAATCCCAATTGTGTGATTGGAACAATCGACACGCACTGTTAAAAATAATGAGGGTACAACAGAGGCGGGAAGCGGATCGATCCTCGACGCGGAAATCGTGCCGTGACGTTGCGACCGACTGCAACGCGGTAAGAGAGGGCTTCTAGATTGCTGCGTGAATACAAAGCGGCCTTGTCATCCGTTGCGCTGGTCATGGCCGTTATTCTTAACGATCGCTCGTATCCATTTCCTTATTGTATCGTGGTTGTTTACCTTTTGACGGGTAACTTGGCCACCCACTTTTTGTTGGAACTGTGTCCATGTCTTTGAGCTAAAAAAGTCAACGATCCATGGGCGGTGGTGCTCATATCAACCCGCGGCCCTGAGTCAATGTCACGGAAAAATTCCAAGCTACAATGGGGTGATGATGAGCCAGTCAGTGCACAGAAGAATGCCTGCTTTGTTGACCACTTTCATCTTTAGTGGTGGCTATTATTTTTAAAATCTACAGGGTGGATGATGGCCTCAGTTGTAACACCTCAATGGGATTCGATATCGCATCGTTAAGGTCGTGAGTTGCACGATGAAACAGCACTACGCAATATTTAGTCCGCTTTCGAAGAGTTATATTCTTTGGTTCTTTCAGTTAAGTCGCGTAGAAAATGTTTCGAATAGTTGTTGCCGTCCCGTGTATATTTTACACGCACAGCCCAACCATGAATTTTGCTGCACTGCCTTCTGCTGCCCACCATGTAACCTATAACACCTGTTATGCATGGCGACCACTCATCAAAGCACTATCCAGGCTTTAAAAAAAACCCTGCTTGGCTTGCTAAATCTGATCGGGCAGATGTCAAGTTTCATCTTCGTACGGCTGACACATTGATGTAAGGAGTGGTGTTTCTCAAACTTGTTAGGCCCACGAACCACTCAGCTGATGAAAACATGAGGTGGTGGTTGTTGAGTCAGATAATCGCGTCGGGAGTCGCGGAGTGGTGCATCGTCGCTTCTGACGATGCCGTCTCCTTCGTTTTTTAATCCTTTATATTAAGTTCGCTTGCGTGCTTGCTTGCTTGCTTGCGTGCTTGCGTGCTTGCTTGCTTGCTTACGACCGTGCAAACCTTTCGGTCGTTTTTTAACCCACTTCCCGTGATCCAATCGAGCTGACATTTTGCACACAGACTCGTTGTGCGTGACAATTAATGTTCGTGAAAAAAAATTCCAAAATTTTACACTGTTTAGGGAAAACAAATTAAATATTTAATTACCAATTGTTTAATACTGCAATCATCTGACCCATAGGTGGCAGCCATCTCAAGCCAGAGGACGAGAGGACTCTAGCCGCCACGCATATAAAGGATTTAGAGTGAAAAACTTTGTTTTTACGGGTTATACTTATTTGTTGTGAATCTGGAATCGAGTCAGGGGTACGTTCCCACGGTTCAATTTCTGGGTGGTGACCACAGTCGCACAGCGAGGAGTTTTTCAGTTTAACACGTAGGTTTTTGCAACCAATATCATCCATAATATAGGTTTGTTTTCGCTATATAACCCAAAAAACGTATATTATGGGGAGTTTTTTAATTGCCATTTGCGCATCATCAGCTCGCCGCATCAGCCGCCACCATTTGTGCGGGTGCAGTTTAGATTCAGATTTTGAATGATTTGATCACAGGTTTTCGTCGGATAAGCTATTTTTTATCGTATTAAATTTTTCACCACGTAAGGCGACCTGGGCACAAATGATAGCTCAACGAAGTGAAACATTTACAGCAGCAAAATACTCTTAAACGCGTGATGTTGATTAAAAATATGGTGGGAAAAGCCGGAGGAGCCGGAGGAAAATCTACGCGACCACGGGGAGAACATCCAAACTCCAAGTATACAACATGTGTCGGGGTCGGGATGGAACCCACGACCTCCTGTATACCGGGCGAGGTAGTGAACATCTCGCCACCGCGGAGCCCCAACGCCCCTGGATACCCAGTATAGGGTTCTACAGTAGCAACATTACTCAATGGGATTCATTAAAAAAAACTTGGATGCATTTTTAAAGACTCGACAATCAAAGGCGGCAAGGTTAAGAGGGCACCGTCGTGGCCAGCGCTGTTTACATCGCCACAACTCGCCATCACTTCCTGCTGGCAGATCCACAGCTGTTGCACAGTCACCACGCCGTCTCCAAGGGACGGAGTTGGTGACTGTGACGCCATCTGGCCTCCGGTCTCTTCTCCCTCCTCGGCCGCCGACCTATCAGCTTTGCACGCAGTTGGCGCGTCGATTCGTCGTAGCTGTTGGTGGCTCCTATTCAAGGCTCTTCAAGCCAGCGTCCGTTAGAGGCGGCAGCAAGGGTCGGATCCCCGCGCAAATGGTGCGCGGCTTCCCCGCGAGCTTCGAGGAATTGACGTCGGAGAATAAGATGCAGCAAATGCGGACTCCACCTGTTCCATCTGTGTGGGATAGTGTTGTCGAACCCCCCCCCCCCCCCTTGATTCATGGGTTTTCTCCGGGCTCTCCGGTTTGCTCCCACATGTATAAACACTCATTCGTTTGCCGGTAACGTTTTGCTAAGTAGAGGACCGCAGAGCTTAGGCAATTGTTGGTGGCTGCTGCTGCCGCCGCCGCCGCCTTCGCCGATCGTCGGTGGTTCCTCATCCTCGCATCTCCGGGTCGTTCTCTCGCTCGTCCAGAGTGAGGCAAATAATTGTAGTTGTTTAAAAGTTTCCCAAGGGCGTGAAACGTAATTCGCAAAGTTAAAAGTGCTTTCCACACCCGATTTCAGCACGGGGCGGTAGGTCGTCGCCCGCTCGCATTCCTCAGCCAGTGGTGGAAATTCAACATTTCTGTGGCGAGGTGTGGGCCAGGGTGGTGGTGAGTCTTGTTAAGACAACCACTTTTTCATCTTCTTGGTTCTTTCGGTAAAGTGACGTAGAAGGGAAATAATAAAATAATAAAAATAAAACAATAAAATCATTCTCACGACGTTTCGGCCACAACGCAAGCAGCCTTTAAAACCCCCCGCCCACCTACGCATTTCACAAGTAGTGACTAATCGCATATCTGCATTTCCCATAAATATGGTAAATTTCTCTTGATATGCAAATTATTTTGTCAAGGCGCTCTTCCCCCTCCAACCCAGCCTAAATACACGCTCTAAGCCTGGTGGTGTTTCATTCAGACGCTGTCTTCCCGACAGACCTGTTCTTCACCTGAGGACGGCTGCTTGCGTTGTGGCCGAAACGTCGTGAGAATAATTTTATTATGTTTTATTTTTATTATTTTATTACTTCCCTTCTACGTGACTTTACCGAAAGAACCAAGAAGATTAATCCCTGCAATCACGAAAGCTTTAAATCGAAAGACAACCACTGTTTACTTAATCTCTCATGGTATTAATTGTATTGACCCCGCCCCAAGGGATGAGAGGCCGTGTTGACCCCCGACTGGGATTTGAAGTGGAAACGTGCATTTTCGAGTATTTGGCTCCTGCTTTAAATGTCCGCATGATAAGCCGCTTCGTTGAGCTATCATTTGTGTCCAGCTCTCTTTTGAAAAAGAGCTATACAGCTCAGTGGGTTTTTACTTGGTAAAATAACAAAAAAATGTTTATAGTTAGTTAAAACCCTCTCCTACCACTGTGCCTCGTAGTATTTCTTGCAAGATTTCAATCTCGGATCTAACTTCGAGGACATTGTTTTGTTCTAGCGTGAGACACAAAGGGGCTGTTTGCTACTTACTGCCGCTAAATAATCAACAAACGATCAAAGTGCTGTCGCTGAAGAAGACGCTACTCGCAGCCATCGGCATTTGTTAATGTTTCTATTACCAAGCATATATTGTTGGTTGTGTTGTCTTGTTGTTTTGTTGGCGATACACATGTACTGACATTGCCACTGTTTACGTGCAAGCTGTAACACTAAATAATAACTTCCACTACTGTATCAAAAAAACATTTCGTTTCTAAAAAGGAAGTGCCCGATTTTTTGTATTGCCTGTTTTTAAGATAACTTCGTTGTCGTGAAACATTGATAAAAGCAAAAAAAGCACCTCCTCTAAATGAGGTAAAATGTACCGATCCATAGTTAGTTACCCAAGCGCCTGCGTGAGTTTGGTGCGTACCATTTGGAATAGGGGTGTTTGTGTCTCTTTTTATCCTACCACTCGTGCAGCAACCCACTGCGTGTGACTTCTGTATTGACACGAGTCTTGAACTGAACTGTTTCTGTTTAAATCTCAATTGTAACGGTTTAAATAAAACAAATGACAATCTTGAACTGTTTATAAATACATTCATGCGTTTTTGTTTTTAATTCCATGAAATATCCAGAGGTCAGAGTGTGCACACAAATAAATATTGGAGTGATCTATTTGGGTCGGTCCAGAACCACGCATGGAAATTCCACAGTATCATGACGGGGGAGCAGTCCAAAAATGTACCATTTTTTATCATATAATTTGATCCTCTTACTCCAATAGAAAGCTGGATGATAATTATAATATTTAAGGTTTTTCGGTGAAGTCACGTGGATAGGTTCAAAGAAAATAACAAAATAAATAAAAACCACGACTTTTTGATCGCAACACAAGCGTTCGTCATCAGAAAAAGGGGGGTTAGCCTCTAAAGGCAAACTCTTTATAAAGGTTTAAAATGGGCGTAGCCCAGCTAGTTATGACTTAAACTGGTTGATCACGTCCTTCCAATGATTGCTAAGTTTGTCCCATCCTGCCACCTTGCGAAGTTATTTTCGGCTCTACGCTTTTACATTAACAGCTTAAATTTCTCACACCAACACAGCCACATTCGTGCGCCGACCTAGAGAGGGCCAGCTGCTGAGACAGAATGTTTTGAAAGGTTCAAAATGGGTGTAGCCCAAGGGTCATAAGCGAAGTGGGCGGGGCGAGTGATGTTATTGTGAGAAATTAGCATGTTAATGTGATACATTAGCATGTTAATGCGTGGAGGTGGCTATGTTAATGTGAGAGATTAGCATGTTAATGCGTGGAGGTGGCTATGTTAATGTGAGAGATTAGCATGTTAATGCGTGGAGGTGGCTATGTTAATGTGAGAGATTAGCATGTTAATGCGTGGAGGTGGCTCAGTTAATGTGAGAGATGAGCATGTTAATGCGTGGAGGTGGCTCTGTTAATGTGAGAGATTAGCATGTTAATGCGTGGAGGTGGCTCAGTTAATGTGAGAGATTAGCATGTTAATGCGTGGAGGTGGCTCAGTTAATGTGAGAGATTAGCATGTTAATGCATGGAGGTGGCTCAGTTAATGTGAGAGATGAGCATGTTAATGCGTGGAGGTGGCTCTGTTAATGTGAGAGATTAGCATGTTAATGCGTGGAGGTGGCTATGTTAATGTGAGAGATGAGCATGTTAATGCGTGGAGGTGGCTATGTTAATGTGAGAGATTAGCATGTTAATGCGTGGAGGTGGCTCTGTTAATGTGAGAGATTAGCGTGTTAATGCGTGGAGGTGGCTCAGTTAATGTGAGAGATTAGCATGTTAATGCGTGGAGGTGGCTATGTTAATGTGAGAGATGAGCATGTTAATGCGTGGAGGTGGCTCTGTTAATGTGAGAGATGAGCATCTTAATGCGTGGAGGTGGCTCTGTTAATGTGAGAGATGAGCATGTTAATGCGTGGAGGTGGCTCTGTTAATGTGAGAGATGAGCATGTTAATGCGTGGAGGTGGCTCTGTTAATGTGAGAGATGAGCATGTTAATGCGTGGAGGTGGCTCTGTTAATGTGAGAGATGAGCATGTTAATGCGTGGAGGTGGTTTTGTTAATGTGAGAGATGAGCATGTTAATGCGTGGAGGTGGCTCTGTTAATGTGAGAGATGAGCATGTTAATGCGTGGAGGTGGCTCTGTTAATGTGAGAGATTAGCATGTTAATGCGTGGAGGTGGCTATGTTAATGTGAGAGATGAGCATGTTAATGCGTGGAGGTGGCTATGTTAATGTGAGAGATTAGCATGTTGATGTAAGATCAGAGAGGGGCCTCCAATTGGGCGTGGAGATGGCTATGTTAATGTGAGAGATGAGCATGTTAATGCGTGGAGGTGGCTCTGTTAATGTGAGAGATTAGCATGTTAATGCGTGGAGGTGCTCTGTTAATGTGAGAGATGCGCATGTTAATGCGTGGAGGTGGCTATGTTAATGTGAAAGATGAGCATGTTAATGCGTGGAGGTGGCTCTGTTAATGTGAGAGATTATCATGTTAATGCGTGGAGGTGGCTATGTTAATGTGAGAGATGAGCATGTTAATGCATGGAGGTGGCTATGTTAATGTGAGAGATGAGCATGTTAATGCGTGGAGGTGGCTATGTTAATGTGAGAGATTAGCATGTTAATGCGTGGAGGTGGCTATGTTAATGTGAGAGATGAGCATGTTAATGCGTGGAGGTGGCTATGTTAATGTGAGAGATGAGCATGTTAATGCGTGGAGGTGGCTATGTTAATGTGAGAGATGAGCATGTTAATGCGTGGAGGTGGCTATGTTAATGTGAGAGATTAGCATGTTAATGCGTGGAGGTGGCTCTGTTAATGTGAGAGATTAGCATGTTAATGCGTGGAGGTGGCTATGTTAATGTGAGAGATGAGCATGTTAATGCGTGGAGGTGGCTCTGTTAATGTGAGAGATGCATGTTAATGCGTGGAGGTGGCTATGTTAATGTGAGAGATGAGCATGTTAATGCGTGGAGGGCTCTGTTAATGTGAGAGATGCATGTTAATGCGTGGAGGTGGCTATGTTAATGTGAGAGATGAGCATGTTAATGCGTGGAGGTGGCTCGTTAATGTGAGAGATTAGCATGTTAATGCGTGGAGGTGGCTAGTTAATGTGAGAGATGCATGTTAATGCGTGGAGGTGGCTATGTTAATGTGAGAGATGAGCATGTTAATGCGTGGAGGTGGCTCTGTTAATGTGAGAGATGAGCATGTTAATGCGTGGAGGTGGCTCTGTTAATGTGAGAGATGAGCATGTTAATGCGTGGAGGTGGCTATGTTAATGTGAGAGATGAGCATGTTAATGCGTGGAGGTGGCTCTGTTAATGTGAGAGATGAGCATGTTAATGCGTGGAGGTGGCTCTGTTAATGTGAGAGATGAGCATGTTAATGCGTGGAGGTGGCTCTGTTAATGTGAGAGATGAGCATGTTAATGCGTGGAGGTGGCTCTGTTAATGTGAGAGATGAGCATGTTAATGCGTGGAGGTGGCTATGTTAATGTGAGAGATGAGCATGTTAATGCGTGGAGGTGGCTATGTTAATGTGAGAGATTAGCATGTTATGCGTGAGGGTGGCTGATGGCTATTAATGTGAGAGATGAGCATGTTAATGCGTGGAGGTGGCTCTGTTAATGTGAGAGATTAGCATGTTAATGCGTGGAGGTGGCTCTGTTAATGTGAGAGATGAGCATGTTAATGCGTGGAGGTGGCTATGTT